AAAAAAAAAAAAAAAAAAAAAACGATGCAGAGCTAAATTTTGATTGATTAAATAAAATTAGATTCAATTTAAACTATTTACATGATTAAATAATTATCTTATAATCGATATAAAAAATAATTGAAATAATATGTTAAATTTACTAAATCACATTAATTTACCAAACACCATAACTAGTTTTTTCTTACCTTAAAATTAAAATTTACCAAACAAAAAATATATATATATAACTTCTAAGCTTTTGGATTAATTTAATGAAATTAAATATTTATTTTATATATAAATTTGGTTATATCATTCCATCAAGTGGCTGTAGTTTAGTGGTAAGAATTCCACGTTGTGGCCGTGGAGACCTGGGCTCGAATCCCAGCAGCCACACTTCCTTTTATAATTTTATAAAAAAAACTAATAAATCATTTAATCATCATAACATTTAAAAATATTTTTCTGATATAAAAATAAACCCCAAAACCCTATCCTTCCTCTGGTTCTTGCCGCCACCCTTCTCTTTCTCCTCCCTCTTTCGCCCCATCAGCACGCATCTCCGCCCTCGAACTCTTCCTCCTCCTTCCTATCTCACTCTCTACGGCAACCGCGCCGCCGCACCCTCTCTGCCGCTGCTGAACATCGTCCACGTCATCGTCCTTTTATTTCATCTCACCTAAACTCTCTCCTTCTGAGTTTCGGCAACAATGGCGGGAGGCAAGATGAAAAGGGAGAAGCCAAAGGCGTCGGCGAAGACTGCACCGTATCAGGGAGGGATTTCGTTTCACAAATCCAAAGGTCAGCATATTCTTAAGAATCCTATGCTAGTCGACTCTATTGTTCAAAAATCTGGAATTAAAAGCACCGATGTTATCCTCGAAATCGGTCCCGGTACTGGAAATCTCACCAAGAAGCTTCTAGAATGTGGTAAGATGGTTATTGCAGTCGAGCTCGATCCTCGTATGGTTCTCGAGTTGCAGAGACGGTTTCAGGACACTCCCTATGCTTCTCGCTTGAAGGTAAGTTTTCCTTTCGTTCGATGCTTTTTGTGTTTTTTTCCATTTGATTTCTATCGATCAGGATGATTGGTTTAGTTGATAATTGACCATGGGAGTGTTTTTTACTTGTTCTTGAAGCTTCTGCTCATTGCTATTCTGGTTAACATTAGAACTGGATTTCTTTCTGTTGCATGAATTAATCGAACTAACATTTACAACATCTACCTTTCCCTTACCTATTATCTTATGAACTTCAGATAAAGAATAGTCCATTCCTAATCTATCAACTCTCTGAAGCTGTTCATTGATTGGTTATTCTCATCAAATTATCTTAACAATTGTTCGAACGAACCGAGTGTTATCTGTATAAGAAGATTTGTGATTGTGCTTGATTAAATTGGTAAAGGAGTGAATTTATGTTGGTGTTTTTACTTGATTCCCTCAGGTTATTCAAGGAGATGTACTCAAGACTGAGCTTCCTTATTTTGATATATGTGTGGCAAATATTCCTTATCAAATATCATCTCCTCTCACATTCAAGTTACTAAATCATCAACCATCTTTTCGGTGTGCGATCATAATGTTCCAGAGGGAATTTGCAATGAGGCTTGTTGCTCAACCTGGGGATAAACTCTACTGTCGTTTGACTGTAAACACCCAACTCCTATCTCGAGTATCTCACCTCCTGAAGGTCGGCAAGAACAATTTTCGTCCTCCACCGAAGGTGGACTCGTCGGTAGTTCGAATCGAGCCAAGGAAGCCACGAATTGAAGTGAAGCAAAAGGAGTGGGATGGGTTCTTGAGAATCTGCTTCAATAGGAAGAACAAAACTCTTGGATCAATTTTTAGGCAGAAGAGTGTTCTTTCTTTGCTAGAGAAGAACTACAAGACCTTATGTGCACTGAATATCCCACAGCAAGGTTCTGCAGATAAGGATGATGGTGATTTTGATTATTCAAGATTTGGCAATTTGAATGAGGATCAAACCATGGAAGTAGACGACGATGGAGGTGATGAGGAGATGGATATGGACGATAGCGACGCCGAAGGTGGAGATGGGGAGGCTTCTGAATTCAAGGATAAAGTCATGGGTGTTTTGAAGGAGGGAGATTTTGAAGAAAAGAGGTCATCTAAACTCAGCTTACAGGAGTTCTTATACTTGCTCTCTTTGTTCAACAAAGCTGGCATACATTTTTCTTGAATTTGTTGTGTTCTTGAAGTTCTTCCCTACAATAACCAATTTTGTCCTCCCCCACCTCCTGCTGTGTTTTGTGACCACTTTCCATTATTCCCCTCTGAAGTAGTAAAGTTCAACCAAGTTTGTTGCGTTTTTTCTTTTCCTGCTTTATGTCTGGCAATTGAGATGCTATTCTTGTCCTTTTATTGTGCTAAACGAAGTATGTATTCTTTTATGCTGGTATGATTGGGATGTATGGTTGGTTTCATCTCGTTTATCGAAACATTCTTTATAAGGCCGTAGAAATCTCTCTTGTAGATATGTTTTAACACTGTGAGACTAAGGGTAGTACATAACAGATAAAAGACTAAAATATTTGCTAGAAATCTCTTGTAGACATGTTTTAACACTGCGAAACTAAGGGTAGTACATAACAGATAACCGACTAAAATGGACAATATTTGCTAGTTTGGGCAGTTAGGACACTGAGCGAGTTTATAAAAGCTAGATATCGGGCGATATACTAGCAAGGACATTAGCCCTCGAGGGGAGTGGATTGTGTGAGATCCCACACATTCTTCGAAACGAAACATTCTTTATAAGGGTGTGGAAATTTCTCCCTACCTCTCCTTAATAGACGAATTTTAAAACTAAGAGGCGACAATATGTAACGAGCCATTGCTTTCTCCATAAAAGCTATTAGCGATCTTAAAGCAATGAGAAAAAAAAGCTATGATCGATCCTAAAGCAATGAGAATAAAGGAAATTCCTGGTATATAATTTGAACTGAATACGTGTTATTTGAGTCTTCTTTCTCCAAATCATGCAAAGATAGGAGAGGAAACAAGTTAGAGCTTAGATTCAAAAAGGGAACCCAAGGGAGTGACAGAAACATATGCCAAAAAACCCAAGAACACCTTAAAATTAAGTTCTATATTCATTTCTAAGACATTGTTATTTAGAATTTTGGGGCAATCCAAAGGCAGAGAAATTATGTTAATTTGGTCTTCTTTGACTTCACTTGAGGCTTTTCAGTGGTTTCATCATCATCGTCCTCAGAAGCCTCTTCGAGAAGTTCATCTGGGACATCGTTAGGAACATTATGTTTCGTTATGTACTCCTTCAAAATGGCCATGCTCTCCTCTTTCATAGAAATCAACTGCTCTGAGAGAGTGCCTTTATTAGCTGTATTGACCAAATGTTTCTCTGACCCTAAGCGAAATGAGGCCTTAACTCGAGGACTTCGAGAAATAACTTCTTGAGCTTGGGCATCCATTGAATCTGGCAAAGGTTAATGTAAGAAAACACTGAACTGAGATTGAGGTAAAAACAAGCACGATTGGATAGTTGAAATTTACAGGGTCTTTCACTACATGTTTAGTTACAACTCTGAGTAGCCTAATGTGTAGATGCACATTCTTGCCATTAAAATAGAATTCAAACGATAAAAGAAATTAGCATGGTTCTTTTTCTGCCTGCTGAAAACTACGATTCTAGCAAGCCAGTTACGGATCTTACTGATAACCACACCTACTGCCACTTTAGCAATCATCCTAAACATTTCAAGCATCAAATAAATCATAACTTACACTCAGAGGGTCACTTTGGTAGGCAATTTGAGTTCTGTTTTACACTCAGAGGGAAACTTCGATAGCTAGCTTCGGTATTCATATGTGTTGTGATATTGAAAGAAGGGAAGCTGATAATGAGAATAAACTTTTCAGGCCAGAAGCTGAATGGCTTTTCTTCTTTCTGTTAACAAATCAAAGTCCCATGTTATTTACATGGATGGGATAAATCAGAAAATGTCTGATAGGCATGTTATTAGGAATATATTTAGAGTATTAAGAGTATACTGCTAATTTGTTAGGGAGTTCGGTATGCATTTGGTTATAAATAGAGGGAGTGGGAAACGAGAAAGTTAAGCAATAGTTCATCTCACTTAGGGCTTGAGTGATCTCAAGGTTCCACTTGTTAGTCTTGCTACACTACACAACACGAGTGTAGTCATGTTTGAACAAGTTTTGATTATAAGGAGAGGTGGAAGAAAAGGCTTGGAATTGATTTAGGAGCTTCGCTGCCCAACAATATGGAGTACTGACCACACTGAGAGATTGAAGGAATAGGAATTGGGTACTCGATAGAAGTTGGGAAGAGTTCCACCTCAACCGAAACAAAATAAGGAGTATTGAATTGATTCCTTTTAATAAATAGATCCGATTGCAACTGACTACTATCAGCTAGAGGTTGGTTAGACCCAACGGCTGGGAGGTAGTCGTAGAAACAAAGCTCGCCGCTTTGCCTTCCACTCTGGTTGCCAAGCAGAGTTTCCTGAAATCTTCCCTCTTTCCCTTGTGCACTTCCTTGATTACTCTACTTCCCCGTTCAAGTACCTCGAAGTACATGGTTTATCTTGTAGTTTCGGTATCTTTCATACTTCCATATATTTCAGGTTCTATCAACGCCATCCCATCCTTAAACTCAAAACTCATATGGTCTACACCCGAGAATTTCACTCGACTCAACATAAAAGAAATCCAAACTAGTAATAACTCAGCACGAGAATCGAATGGGACAATAAGTTAAGTCCTTCATACTCCAAGAGCTGGATAAATGTCGAAGAAAATTGAACACAAAGATAAGTCATAGGCCAAGGTCAGCATTCCTGGCCTCCTATATTAGAAGCTCGAAGTGGCCAATGGAAGGCTAAGGGCTTGTTATACCGAAACTGTTCTCAAAACAAGTCCCAAGTTTTAGTTTTCAAATCTAGTTTTGATCGGGACAGTAAAAACTACTGCTCACGGTCCTATACGATTGGTAAGAAGAACAACTTCAGTTCTAGCCAATCAGCCATCAACAGAAACGAACCCAAAGAAAATAAGAAAAAGTACCAGTTATCCAAACATATATTCATCAAATTTTAAAAGCGCTCCTAGAAAACAGGTATAAAAAGTGAATCCAGAACCATCTATTTGCAAATTCCAATCTTCGAACTTCAATTCCCAAACTACACCACCATTTACCTTTCCAGAATCCTAATTTAGGGCTCCAAAATCAGGTTCTACTAAAGAAGTTAAAATCCATTAAAAGATTCAAACATAAATGACCATTTCGAATAGGACCTTGTAAATTCAGCAACTCATATCTATCGATGAAATGATTCATCTCAAATTTGAACGTACCTGTAGATTGCAAATCTACGGAACTCCGCTGCAGTACTGCTCTTTCTCCTCCTCTTCTTCTTCTTCTTCCTCTTCTTCTTCCTCTTCTTCTTCCTCTTCTTCTTCTTCTTCGAGAGAGAGACAAAGGGAAATTGAAACAATTGGCGGGAGAGACAGGAAGCTACGCTCGCACTCGAACGAAACCCTAATTGGGTAATTAACACACACACACACACACACACAAAAAAAAAAAAGTAATAATAACAATTTTAAAATTAAACGTTTAATATTCCAAAAAACACGAAAAATGCTAAATATATATTATTAGGCAAATATAAGTCTTAGTCAACCTGTGTCGAAGAAAATTCTCGAAGACAGAACATTCTGGAAGGTGATGGACATGTGACACCCGAGTAAAAGAACGGTACGTAAATGAACCGAAAACTACCTCTGAATGAGAGCGATTCTAAGAATAAAATGACTAAGAGTAACACCCAAATAAAAGAGCGATATATAACTGAGTCAAAAACTACATCCGAATAATAGCGATTCATAGAATGGTTTTCACCCGGTCAAGCTGTCTGAGGTCGACCTTTCCTTTTAGTTAATCCATTTAACTTTTAACTAAAAAATATATTCTTTATTAATCAAAATCCAATCCATACCCAGTTACAATATAGAAAATATTAACTCGTATTCCACCGACGAAGGATATTAATTTTTCTATATTTAATGAAATAAAAACATTAAAAATTAAATTTCACGAAGGTAAAAATTCATTACCCCCTCCAATAATATACAGAGTGAAAAATAAACTAAATTAATTAGAACAAAAAAAAAAAAAAAGTCTGTATAAAGCTTTAGACAATATGATGGAGCCTTCTTTCATCGTCTTCAAACCTCGAAATATCATCATCTTCCTCGTCATCAGAATCCTAATTCAAACACGATACCGAAACTCTCAGTCAGCCATGAAAACACCTCGACATTTTCCTCATTTCTCAAAGCTTTCAAATTTTAGTTTTTAAAAAAGCTCACCTGATCTCGATATCGGTACCGATAACGACTTCGATGAATGCTGTTTTGAACGGTGGTGATAGCTCGAATTATCACATACATAGGGAAAATTATCCCACTTCCTCTTAAAAGAAGCACCTAAGAATAAATCGCTTAATCAGTACATAGCATCGAGACTAAAATGATATTTTGACCGTAAAAATAATATTCTCGAGCATAGGAAGAGTCGAATCGAATCGGGTACTAACCGTGGCGAGCGTAAATGGATAATCTCCAGCGCCAACAGCAATAACATCATAGAAATGTCTCAACAACAATACTAAAGTAAACTGCATAAAAAAAATTAAAATTAAAATATAAATATTACTCTAATTAAGTTAAATAAATAAATAAATAAATAAATAGTGGGCGAAATTAGAAAATAAACGGCTACTAATCTAATTTAAAGTAGTGATTAAGGTTAAATTAAGAATTTAATTAATATTAGAAGAAAATTAGAAAAACGGGCAGAGAATATTCGTTGACCGAGGAACTTACGGTGAGAGCAACCGATTTACAATAGGAGGCACCGCGGTCAGTGGTGGTGGAGCAGACGGAGTCCGACGCGCCGTCATCAGCGGGCGGAGATGCGGGCTCCGCCGCCACTTCTTGCTCGCTTCTCGGGATTTGCGCACCATCACTGCAAATCCATTTCTTAGAATTTCAATTTAATTAATTAATTTGATTCCTAAATATTCGAAAAAATCGCCAGCAGAGCCGATGAATTGGCTGTAAAGCATGTCTGGCTCGCGCTTTAAGAAATCTCCCATTTCCAAATTTATAATTTAACTAAAAAAATACCTAATGCTGACACCTGGATCGCCGAGTTGTGGCTTCTTAGAAGGCGCTGTGTAGCCCGGCTCGTAATTCTACAAAATAATTATTATTATCATTATTTTATTTTCTTTCCTAAATTTAAAAAAAAAAAAAGCATTTAATAATAAATTCATTAACAATACGCGGAGAGGTCAGAAGACTTAAATCTTGGTTTATTCTCCAGACATTAATTTTAAAAAAAAAATTAAAAAATGCATTTTCTTCAAATGCATATACAAATATAGATATGTGAAATTACCAAAGTACCCATAGTTCAATTCAATAACACATCAATTTCTATAAGAGAAAATAGTAATTATATATTTTAAAAAAATTAAAATAAATCGTAAATTTAACAGAGAAGAAGACGAATTCCAGAATCCCACAGAAAACCAAACCAAACCAAACCAAACTCAAAATCAACCAGCTGTGCTTAAGAAAACCCATTACATAGCTCTGGAAAACAAGCCCGAGGTGTGTAAAACTCAAAATCAACGAAAACCCAGTTGAAATTTTGAAGAAAAAAACAGACCCAGAAGCTCAAAAGCTAAGAAGAACCGAACCTGGAGGCAAATTTCACAGACTATGCTGCTCTTTTCGGTGCACCATCTCTGAATACAGTCTCTGTGGGCGAACTGAACCGGTGGAAACAAAAGAATATTAATAACAACCAGAAGAAGGAGAAGATTTTAAGGGGTTTTTGAATTTAGGGGTTACCTTAATGGTGCCAGAACAGGCGCAGGGGGCTTCAAGTTGTAGGGCACTTTCGAATTCCTCTTCGTGGCAAATCCTACAGCGAGAGACATCGTAGGACGTTTCGAATCGGAAGTCGTCCACGTACAGAATCGCTTCGCCCATCGACTAATTTTTTGAATTTTTTTTTTTTTTTTTTGTTTTCCTCTGTTTTTATTCAAAAGCTCTCTGGTTTCCCTTCCCTCTTTTGTGGATTTTTTTTTTCATCTTTAAATAAAAGAGATTAATGTGAATTTCCCAAAATACCCTTTGTTTATGGGGGACCGACGTGGACTTTTCTTTCAGAGGCGCTGGATGGAGCACCTTAACGCAACGCACCGCAACGCCAGTTCATAAATTGCGAGTATGAAAATTATGAACGCAATAAACCATGGAAGTCAAGTCAAATAACTTCGAAATTTTAATAAAACTCATTAATCACTCCATATAACCGTCCGCTACCAAATATTGTCAGTTTTAGTCCGTTATATATTAGTAGAAGTGGATTGTGAGATCCTACGTCGATTAGAGAGAAAAACGAAGCGTTCAAATATGAAAACCTCGATTTAGCATACACGTTTTAAAATTGTAAGACTATTGGCAACAGATAACAAACTAAATCGAACAATAACGACTATCTGTAGACTTGAGTTGTTATAAATATATAATTTAACTTTTTTTTTTTGTCTTAATTTCAAATTGTGTTCACAATTTTAATTAAATAACATCGAGCAGGAAGTAAAACAAAATAATGTAACTAACAGATCTATTCGCTGTTTGATTGTTTATTTTCTTGCGTGTTAATTAGTCGATATTTATTTTCATTTAATTAATGATATTAAATATTAAGGATTGAAGTTACTAATTAAATTTGTTTATAAAATTATAAAATTATCTTTTAAAAAAATTATGATAAATTTATAATGGGTTTATCTCGTTTATTTTTATATTCTATATTTTCTCAATTTCCACGTCAGATTTTTTTTTCAAAGTTTCAATTTTTTTCTTTAATTATACCTTGATTTCTAATAGTCTTTTATACCATTAATTAGTATTAAATTCAATTAAAAAAAAGACATAAATGTCGTAATAAATAAAATTTCAAACCTCATTATTAGTCAAAATTATATAACTTGTTTGGTAGTTAAATTATTAAGGAAAAAATTGGAGATAGAAAAAAAAATAATTTGTATTATTCCAATTTGATGGATAAAAAATCCAAACAATTACTTATCTAAAGATGGGATATTTAGATTTATAACTTATAACAGCCCAAACTCACCGCTAGCAGATATTATCGTCTTTGAATTTTTCTGCTTTCCCTTAATGTTTTTAAAATATGTCTACTCTGAGAGGTTTCTATACCCTTATAAAGATTTTTTTCGTTTTCCTCTTCAATCGATATGGGACCTCACACAACATCTCGACACTATAAAGAACATCATACACTCATAGCCCTGAGAGAAAAATCACAACATCAAGTATAATGTCTTCACAAAAGTTCGTAGCATCGAGATATTTCAATGCAAATATCTCGACACTGTCTATGTGAGTTTAATTGTTTAATGACTTGATCGGTCTCTATTACAGTAAATTAATTAATTATTCATTGAAATAAGTAAAATAACAAGAAAAATATCTAAATGGATAAATAAATTTTAAACATAAAATTGTTTATAAACTTATAAGTTTGTATAAAAACTTATCTTGAAACAATAATTAGTAATATATTAATATTATTGAATTAAATATGAATATTTTATAATTCTTATTTAAAAACAATAGTTAGCGTTATGATTGGAATATGAAAACTTGGTGCCAAAGAATGTTTAAAAATAATAATAATCAAAGAATTAAAAAAATCATTTTAATTAATACCCTAAGTTATTTGATTAAATAAATACGAGAGACTATAAATGACGAGGAATAATGAAGAACATGCCCCCAAGTTTTTTCAAATAAATAATGCAAATTAAATATTCTCGTGTTAAATATAATAATAATTTATTTGATTTCGACCTCTAAAAAATTATATACGTAGATTCATTAGTGATATATACCTCTTAATTGTAATAATTGAAAATAAACTATTAATTTAATATTTATTAAAAATTTTGATTTATGTTATTATTATTTAGTTTCTGTCATTTAACGCCATTACCATGATTTTCACTAATAATTATGTAATTAAGCTAATGACATAAACTTAACAGTAAATCATTACCTAAAATGGAAAGGGGTAATTAAAATTTTTAAAATTAGAAAATAAATAATTAAATTTTATTAAATTTAGCTTAGATAAAAAAAAAATATTTTTATGACAAATATGGAAATCAAATAGTAATAGTTGGCGAAAACGTGGCAGTACAGTTGTCGATTAGAACTCCTATTTAGTGTAGAAATCCAAGTTGGCGTGTGACGTGGCATAATTATCAGAATAATGCCACGTGTTAATGGGTCATCCTTCACAATAATAATGGATAAGGTCTCCCACAAATGGGAGATCAATTATACTTTTCGTCTTTATTATTTTTAAGAATAAATAAATAAATAAATAAATAAAATAAGATAATTTCTTACTTTTTTAATGGCCAATTATAAATATTTCATTAATTCAATAATTGAACCCATAAAGTACATATCGAATGTATCTTCTTTGACTTTGGTACATTCATCTTGATCCATAAATTAATTTTAATTCTAGTAAATTTCTATTATAAAAAAGAATTAAAAATTACTTAATAATTATTACTTAGGTCAGAAGGGCAAAATGGTCTTTACAGCATTAATTTGTCGATGTTTTTAAGAAACCTGTCCTTCCGTTTACAGTTTGAATTTGCGGTGTTTGCAGGTTCGGATCAGGAGCCTTGGATTTTAAAATCAACGGTCATGAAATAATTTAAAATTTGTGGGCCTAGTAGTGGGGGCCCATGACCACCGGCCTGTTTCGAAGGAAGACGGTGGCCGAGATCCTGTGGGCCCAACCCAAAGTCACTTCTCGTAGTTTCTTTTTAAGAAAATAAAATAAAATAAAATAATGTATTTAATTTTTTGGATATTTATTTTTTGGGATGTCGACGTTTGTACTTATCCTCTCTCTATCCTTTGTTCTTATCGTCTTAATTATGGTTTTCAATTTCGATTCTCATTCTTTCCCTTTCATTTTTTTTTTTGTGAATTATATTAAATTGATTTAAGATCAATCATTACAATTTATTAATCCACACCTTTAAATATATATTATATATATTAATTAATTTGAACTAAAATAATATTAAAATAAATGTATCTCAGCAATAATTTACATGTATTTAATTAATTAAATTGGAGGATGAATTTAAAATTTGAAATGAAAATTGCTAATTTAACTTAATTTTATATTAAAGAAAATGAATATTTTTAAAAGTTACCCATTCAAAATTGGGTATGATGGAAAGCCCATCCCAAATGAATGGGCCGTGATATATCTTTAATGAAGCCCATTTTAACATTGGGCTTGTGTAATACGGCCCATTTGTTTATTATTATTATTATTATTATTATTATTTTAAATTTAAGCCTACAATCACTAGTTTTGTAATTATATATCATAAAGACAACATTATGATGAAAGCACCTTTGATTGCAAAAAGCATAGGTTATATAAAAATGTGTGGCCAAAAAAGTGGAAATTGGATGAGATTATGATTGGTGTGACACTACCATTATTCAATTCTCTAATTAGTTTAATAAAAATAATATGATTTAACTAATTAAATAGATTTATTTTAATTAAATTTAAATATAATATAAAAAAGTAATAATATTATTTTTGCAATATTATTCGATGAAAAATGAAATGCACCCGAAATTCAGAAACGGGAGCTGTCGTGATTTCGCATTAGAGTTCACACCCAACAAAAAGCTGTAAATTTTGGATCCCTTTCGTGTTCTCATCTTCTCCATCCAAATTCCCAATTCCTCTCTGTGGATCCAGCCCCACCGGTTTTCAGCCGACCTAGATCCCGTTCAATTCCCCTCCGATCTGCCTTCAATCGTCTCCACCGATGTTCCTCATTGACTGGTTCTACGGCGTCTTGGCCTCCCTTGGTCTCTGGCAGAAGGAGGCCAAGATCCTCTTTCTCGGCCTCGATAATGCCGGCAAAACTACTCTTCTCCATATGTTGAAGGATGAGGTTTGATTTCTTGCCTTTTCTGTTTGCTTGATTTCTGTTTTTGCAATTTGGGGGAATCGGTGTGTTTAGATTTGGATTTGACTGAGGAATCGAAATGGTGGGGGATTTTGGCTTGATTGTTATGGTGTGGATTGGTTATTGTTGTTTGTTTGTTTGTTTGTTTGTTTTGGTTTCTTTGTTCTATAGAGGCTTGTTCAGCACCAGCCAACACAGTACCCGACGTCTGAGGAGTTGAGTATTGGAAAAATCAAATTCAAGGCGTTTGATTTGGGTGGGCATCAAATTGCTCGTAGAGTCTGGAAGGATTATTATGCTAAGGTAATAAAACACTGTTTTTCTTGAATTCAAGCTGATTGTATTTCCATTTTCGTGGTGAATTTCTTGGGCATTCGGCTCTGTTGAGAAGCACTTTACTCTTGAAACTTGTACTCTTTACCAATTGTTATGTGTTTTCAGATTACAATTATGTTTGATTCCCAACTGGTTGCTGGAAATACTCATGAGCTTATATTTGTTGCATTTTTCATAATTATGCTGCCAATTCCTCTAGCTGATGTGTTGTAGCAGAATTTTTTCTATAATCTTCTGAACTTGTTGCGTTTCCATCCATTATGCTTGCAATTATGCCCCCACACCGTTCTTCCATTGATCCAAGTTGAATGAACAGTGCCATTAGTTACTTTTGTTATTTTCAGTTTGTTGATATATATGAGATCCTATTCATAACCGTGAAAACCATCAAAAGAGCCAATGGTATACTCGTCTGCCTGATTTTGCAGAGCAAAGACCTCTCCAAAGTAGTCTTTTAGTATAGAACAGAGGCATTCTGAGCCAACTACTACGACTACATGTGCATCTAGTGTAGTGGCTATAGAAGCCCTCGTCCAAATGAGTATTTTATAGAGAGCCGACAAGAAATTCCATTAATAACTGCCCGTTTTGATTCTTTGGAACAACTCGGTGAATTTTTGTTCTTGAGCTGCATATCACTCGTTCAGTTTTGGTGCTTTCCATCAGTTGTTTATCTTACATCTTGCTGTTTGATTGCGTTAATGGAAACTTCCTAGTGGTATTTTTTTCTTAAGAATTGATACATGATCTTCTGAACTCTGTTGCTGAATGGATTATAACAATGTATCCATAGCACGGCACCTTCGAAAGAACTTTAGTTATGTTCTTCAAGCTGTCGGTGTGTCCAATGTTCTGTTCTGCTGAAGCTAGAGAGCATTTTGCAGAGTCGGGCTTGTAGACCGTGCGGTGTTTTGTTGTTGTGCTATATGGATGATGTTGGATGATTCTTCATATATTTCCAACTTCCTGCAATAGTATGTCGCTTAAGACGTGCTTCTAATTTTGTATGAAAATGAATGTAACAGGTAGATGCTGTCGTGTACCTAGTCGACGCCTTCGACAAAGAAAGGTTTGCAGAATCGAAGAAGGAGCTCGACGCTCTTCTCTCTGATGAATCGCTTGCTAACGTGCCATTCCTTATATTGGGCAACAAGATCGACATTCCATATGCAGCCTCAGAGGACGAATTGCGCTACCATCTTGGCTTGACCAACTTCACCACTGGCAAGGGAAAAGTAAATCTGACTGATTCAAATGTACGTCCATTAGAGGTATTCATGTGCAGTATCGTTCGCAAAATGGGTTATGGCGACGGTTTCAAGTGGATGTCTCAATACATCAAGTAGGTAATATCAACGAGGTATGTCAACGGTTTCACGAACCGATGAAATCCCGTCGTCCTAAGCCCCCTCGAGTCGTCAGAGATTGCAGTTTGATATCCAGTGTGTTGGAGGGGCTTTGGATTGAACTTTTTTCTTTTTTGTTTTTGCTTTCAGACGATGTGTGGAAGGAGGAGGTACTCTAATGCTTTCTATGTAAAATTCACTTCCTACCTCAAGTTTATTATTTTTAACATTCTTGTCTCTTGTTATTGATCTAACTCGCTTAGGATCTTTCTTTTCTAATTGTTCTTCATCAATACCAACTATGGTGGATGGTCTGAGAAACTAAGAATTTTTTTTTTTTAAACGATTCTTTTCGTTCTAAATAATAAAATTAGTTTAAGGCTCACAATCGTGGTTAATTTAACCCTAGTGGGTGTTAATTTAACCTCGTAAACACGTCGTTATTGAGTCTTCTATCACCTCGATCTTCCATTTAGAAATTTATGTCATTATCTTAGCGTTTGCATAGGCACTCTTGACAAATGTTCACAATTTAACCATCTTAACTGAAAGCACCTTTTAGAAAGATTTATCTAAAAATCAAACGCTCATAATTTGCCTTTAGAATTCTCAATATCGCTTTTTGATAATAAACCGAACGCCACAAAATAGTTAAAGGTACTTTTTCTTACTTTCAAAAGGGTATTTAAATTTCAGACTTAACATCGAGCGTTTTTTAGTGTGTCTTTTAGTAGCAACATAGAATTCGGTCCCGACAACTACAACAACACTAGCATAAGATTAAAGACGAAATTGCATAGGGTTAGAGTAAGCATGAAAATGAGAAATTCAAGGAGAGTCCTAAAAGCCATTGCTGCTTTAGAGCTTACACAACTCCTTTGTCTTCTTGGTTGGAACCAAAGCCATCAACATTTTAAAGACATTTCTTTGTAAGTTGGTAAAAAGGCCTTATCACCTGCAAATTTCCCAAATCCCAATGACCTCTTTTTCTTCATCCTCATCTCCCATTCAATGCTCTTCTTCAACCGTTCTTCCTCTTTCATGAACACGACTCTCTACAATGATATAATATTGTCCACTTTGAACATAAACTCTCATAGTTTTGCTTTAAGTTTCTTCAAAATGTCTCATGCCAATGGAGATAGTATTCCTTGATTATAAAAACGATCCTTCTCTAAATTAGTTGAGACTTTCATTATCCAACACGTCTTTCTTCTTTTTCTTGTTTTTAAATATTATTGAATCATCGTTTTTAGTGATGTCTATTTAATCTGCTACACAGAGGCCCTGGAGAGGGTCGAAAATCCCTCTTAGAATAAAGAACGAGAGAGAGTGAAAAGAGATTTTCCTTAGCTAAATGGGATTGACGCCACGGAATAAACAGAGAATGAAGAAGAGAAGGTTAAACGCGCCACGGACAAGATTAAATTCTACCTCCCCAACCTAACCCCACCATAATTATTTTAAATTATGATTTTTTTTTTTGTTGTGTATTAATAATATATTAAAAATCCTATTTTTAATTCAAATTGTAGATCAAGTAAGATTGAGAGATTTTAAATGTCCATTATGTTAAAAAGGAATAAAATCAGTTTTTTTTTTTATTTAAATAAAAATAAAACGACCACGTTTATATTAAATTAATAAATTACTTCTCCAAATGGACAAGAAATCCTTAGCCTTATCTAAATTCATGTTTTTGTTTGGTTTATATGAAAATGGAATTTCAAATATTCTTATTTTAACTTTCAAATCTGATTTATGTTTATTTATTTATTTATTTTAATTTTTAAGAATTAAACCCATTACTACTTTTAAAACCACCTAACCAATTAATATTATATATATATATTTTTTAATTTTCATTTTAATATTTACAAATATTAAAAAAATTGAATTATACGTCTTAACCAGTTGAACTAAAACCCTAATACGTAGCTTGAACTTTATTCGTCCGAACGTTTTTACTATTTTGAACGACAAATAACGACCATTTTGAGTAGAACTCGAGTTCGAGTAAGAGATCCCGTAGTCGAGATTTTTGGTGTAAATGCTGTTATTATTAATTAATATAATTAGGGTTTGGTAGTGGTGGGCGAATAGTTGGGAGGATGAGGTGGCACATAATGATGGGCCATGTGGAAACAGAGTGATGGGCATTTGGGAAGGCTGGTGTGACATGTGCTTTCCAATTTCGTATCATCAAAATTATAATTCCAGCATGGCCACTGACACATCACCACCTTTTTTCCACCACATACCCTAAATTTTTAAAAATTTTAAAAATTATAAACTTATTTTCCTATCTTCTTGGGTTTTCTCCCAAACCCATCCCTCCTTTTTTTTCTTTCCCAAAATACCCCTCTTTGTTTTTTTATCCATTAATTCCTCTTTTTTTCTTATCTCGACCTCGAGAGATATTAATGAAAATGTTAACAACGCTTCTGTTAGATGATGAATGTCCCACGTCGAACTTTTTGCGGAAGCCTAAAGTAAAATCACGAGAGCTTATGCTCAAAATGGACAATATCATACCATTGAGGAGGTCCATGATTCCTAACATGGTATTAGAGTCCTGAGAATCCTCTAACGAGCTTCATAAACCTAATATCATACCATTGTGGAGATCAAAATTTTATTATTGGTAAATTTTTTCAACTGGGTGTTAAATTTTTGTTGATTATTCGATGTTTATGTGCTCATGGGTTCGATATCGAAAAAAAGAAAAGTAAATAAAAAGAAAAATAAAATAAAATAAAATAAAAAAAGCTGCAAAGATATTGATTGTTTGGCTTTTGCACATGGGGGCTTTGCATCAATTCTTCTATCTTCCATCAAGAATTGATTTGCAATTACCAATAATGTTCCCCACTCATTTCTTATAATTCTTTTTACGGGTCGAGTTTTAACGTTTCAATGTACAAATATTAAATATTTTGATTTACGGGTTTTTTCTTTCGGGATTCCTCTCAAAGCCTTGAAGCCTTGAGTGAAAGCCCGAGAGGGAATATCCTAGTAGACGCGTATTAAAATACCAAAATAGAAAATACCCGAGAGGACGCGTTTTAAAGCCTTGAGTGGAAGCCCGAGAGAAAATACCCAAATACGACAATATCTACTGACTGTAGATCTGGGTCATTACAATATATATATATATATATATATATATATATATATATATTTTTTGTTGTAAATTTTTTTAAAAAAATTACCTTGACGTATTTTTTATTAAGGAATATTGGGTTAGTGGATCCATAGGGTTTGACGTCAGCTTAATGCTTCCTTGGAAGCAAACATGTCTTGGATAATGAGAACTTTAGGGAATTAATTAAAATTTATATTATTTAATAATGCGTCATTAATTTAATTTAGTTCTGATTACAATAATTCATATTAATTTATAATATATGGTAAAGAGAGGGCTGCTGATGGGGGCTATCTGTGATTGTTGTATTAAATAAGGGCACTTCCTTTCATTTTAAGGGTATCCTATGATTTTCCCACTACCTAATTCCATTATTATTCATGGAAATTAATGTTTTATTTGGTTCCCGTGTTATTTTGGTTGGTTGATCTTATCAGTTCATTTATAGGTATAATCGGAAGCTATTTTAGTACTAGGGTCGATCGGGTTTGTGTGATGAGCTAAAAGGAGGCACGGAAACATAAGCAACCAAACCAAACCAATCATATATTTATAGGCAATCATATTTTTTCACGAACACAACTAACTCTCAAATGTTTCCACAAACAAATCTCATATGGGCTCCATCTACGTACTCTATATATACACATATGACCCCACACCCTAACTTTGGTTTCGTACTTCAAGTTTACTGTTAATAATTATTGTTTGCTTTAGTCTATTACGTATCATCGTGAGTCTCATGATTTTAAAACGCGTCCGTTAGGGAGAGGTTTCTACTGCACGCTTATAAATAATGTTTCTACTGTGATATGAGATCTCACAGTTACTATCTACACTACTAAAGTGCAAATTTCTTTTTTGGTGTCTCAATCAGATATGTCCACGCGGACTGAGGAAGCCCTCTTTTCTTGTCTCTGCCTAATATTTCAATCTCCATTTTTTTTCGTCATTAGGACCTGAATTCTCGACCGGGATTTTCTTCACTATCTTTTTGTATAATTTTTTTAAAAAAATATATATTAATTAAAAAAAATGAATGGATAATTTCCATTTTTAATATAATAACAATTAAAAAAAAATGTAAAATATTATAATAATTGAATATATAATATAGTTTTCAACATAATTTCAAAAAAATCGAGGTTAGACGAGAATTTAGCGGAGTTGGGACGGGAATGGGGAATATAATCTCTGTCCCTAGTCTCATTTAGCTAGCGGAAAAAAAATCTCTCGCTATACCCTCTCCAATTCTCCATTAAAATGGGAGATTCCTCTCTCGGTCTAGAATGACTCTCTAAACTCAATCATAAGAACCAATTTTACACGGGGTGATCTTTTTCATTCTTATAAGCAATTCCAAATGAAAAGATAACATGATCGAATCCCGAAAAGAAAAAAAAAATTACTTTGGAGCAGCTAAGAAACAGCTATTTTGTTTGGTTTTTCTATAAAGCTTTGTAATTGTCCTTTTAATATGTTTGGTCTCTGTCTTCTCATAAAAAGCCAAAACATATGCTTTCTAGGCACCTCCTAAACTATACCCTTACCTCCCTAACTCAAATATCCCTATTTTTATAATATCACCAAAATTTTCCATAAAATTCAATGCAATTATTGAAACGGACACATAAACTTTAGCCCGTGAATTAAAAAAAAAAAAAAAAAAACCGATCGAATTTCTACTATGATCAATCGGGACCGAAGCAGCCTTATATGACTTCATAACATACGTCCACATTAAAATATTAATACACAATTTTTTAAAAAAATTAATAATAATAATAATAATAACTCATTATTAAATTTTGGTGTCTTTTGGGACACAAAGACAGCAAAATATAATGTGTCATGAAAGGTTTATTCCAATTGGTGTGCTAGTTTTTAATGTATTAATGGTCTCTCACCAATCAAAAAAGGACATTTTTAATTTATTTATTTAATTTTTTAAAAAAATAAATAAGCTTTTGTTATTTAGATAAAATTGGGAGGTGTCTGTGGTAGCAATTGGCTGCACCCATGTCTTTGAAAGGGACCATCCCTTTTCAAGGAATTGCCTTTCTCCTATGCTCCCGACGACTCAGCTAAAGTAATGGTTCTCGTGAAATAGTCTCCATCAAACATGGGCATACTCATAATTCCAATTTAAATATATTTTAGATAACTGGTTTATACCAAATTGGTCAACGAAACATTCCTTATAAGAGTACGGTCTTAAAACTGTGAGTCTGACGGCAATTCGTAACAAGCCATTACAAATGGCATCTGGGTCAGCGAGAATGTTGAGATCTACGTCGGAAAAATTTAGAATTTTAGAATGAGTGCGTGGAAGAGCCCTAAAAGAGTAACTCCTTTCCCTTTCCAATTAATTTTTGGCATATAAATAATAAATGAAATTAAAGTTTATAGCAAATGTCTAGGTGTATAGATTAATAACATTCTCATTACAATTCCCATTATGAGCATCAACAAACTTATAATAAGGGCCCACTTTTATTGATAAAAATAAAATTTATAAATTATATGGAACAAATTATAATAACGAGAAAACTAGTAATGTCAAACTATGGAGTCCAATCCGGATGCGCCACGTGGAGGGGGAAGTGGATTTAATGGTGAGGTGGCAGGTGTTGAGAATTAGGGTTGGGAGGTGGAACCATGTCAATTATTATTAAAATAATAATATAAAGAATGTGAGAAGAATAAAGAGGGCATGGAAAAAGGAGGGAGTTGGGGGTGCCTTTATGGCTATGCCCATCTGGCCATCCATACACATTCATGTGCATTCATAAATCAAATTGCCCTACTTTTTTTTTTTTTTTTCCTAAAAATAAATAAATAAATAAAGCTCGGATTCCTGTGGCTTAGGATAGATGGGTTAATTTGGCGACCAGTAATTATATCTTCTGGTTTTAAATTGTTGTACTGAATATAGTTTAACTAGTTAAAATATATACTATGGACCAAACAATTAGTTATTTTTTTAATAATTTAATATTTTGGAAATTCCATTTTTGTAAAGGAAAAACAAAAGGGTAATTAGTTTTTGAGTGACTGCGTACACCCAGTCATGGATACCGAAAAAATCATAGGAACTCACCGGCTGTATCCGGTTGCCAGTTTCGCTTGTGAAATTTGGAGATTGGAATAGGATCCAATGTAATGGCAATCTATTGCCAGCCATGCAGCGAAATGATTAAAATTAATAAATAAATAAAAGGATTTTGGTATAGTTGGTTTAATATTTCTGTGATATATAAAATTACTTCTCTCTCCCGCAACTACCAACACAACTCCTTATTTACTCACAAAATTTCTTCACGCAAAATGTCAATCCCTTTTTAAAATCCTTTCTCTTTTTTTCTCTCTCTCTTCGCTCCATGCTTTTAAATCTTTGTTTCTGGAGAGAAAGAGAGAGAAAGAGAGATTGAAATCGCAGCAAATCGAAATGAATGTATAATGTGTGATTATTGCTTTCAATTCCGTTTCTGATTCTTGATTCTCTTCTTTGGCGATTGAGGATTCTTGACAATGGCGGTTTCATCTCCTTGTCTTGGCCTTGCTGAGAAGAAGCAATGGTGGCTCTCTGACAAACAGGTGCGTTCGTTTGATTTTGTTTTGATTTTGTTGTGGTTTTTGAAATCGTTTGCTGATTGTGATTCGGCGGAGTTTTTGAGTGGAGTGATTTTGTTTGATTTTAGATGGCGATTAGGTATGTGAAAGATGCGAAGTGTTTAATCGGTGCTGGTAGGGAAAATGATGTGGTTTCGGCTTTGAATCTACTCGATGCGGCTCTGATACTAGCGCCGAGGTTTGAACAGGCGTTGGAGCTTAAGGCTCGCTCGCTTTTGTGTCTTCGCCGGTATAAGGATGTTGTGGATATGCTTCAGGAGTATCTTCCGAGTATGAGGACGACGCTGAGTCGAAGCGGAGGGGATGACTCGTCGTCTGGATCGGAGAATTCGTCGCAACAGTTTTCGAGAGAGCAAGCGAAGCTTCTCGCTTCTTCGTCTTATTCTTCTTCTTCTTCTTCGTCTTCTTTGTCGTATTGTTCTTCTTCGTTATTGGAGTTGCAGAACCACGACTCCTCGTTCAACTGCTTCTTCTCCGTCGCCGATTTGAAGAGAAAGATCATGGCGGGACTCCTCTGTAAAAGGTGCGAGAAGGAGAGCCAATGGAGGTAATTCTTTCTTCCTTTTTTTTTTTTTTTTTTTTTTT